ATATAATCAGTAGGTACCCTGGACATCTGCTTTCTCTTATGATGTTTCCATGGATTCAACTTAGAACTTTGCAATCTGCAGGTTTAATAAGCATTGGGGCTTCTCATTGTTTTAGACACCCTGGAAGAACTGAGACCCTAGGTTTCTATAGTAACCAAGTACAAAAGGAAATTGAGCAAATACTCCAGCATCAGTGCTGCAGAGCCCTGCAGATCTGAAATAAAAACCATTCCCCTGGCAAGTGTCAGATTAGGGGAGTGGAGTTTCCTGGATTGAAAATTAAGATGCAAGTGATATCTTGCCATACTGGAAGCCAGAGAACCTCCCAGTGTAAAGTCTTTCGTTTTAAAGAAAGCTCCTTAGAGGAGGATATGCACCTATGGAAAACCCCAAGCTCTGCATGTGAGGTATGCAAGGCAAAAAAATTTTTTTGCTGAAAGGACTCTAAAAAGAAAAGTGAAAAGTTAACAGTCTCCTGGAACCGGCATCTATACTCCTACTTGAAGCACGCATGGCCAGTTCCTTTCTTCCTCTCTCTCTCTCTCTCTCTCTCTCTTTTTAAGGGCACGTTTTCCACTCCTGGTATTTTCTGTCTTTGAAGAAGGCAACTCATAGAATACCGGGGTGGGGGATTTTCAATTAATTTGCAAATAAGGGGTGGTGGAAATCTGCTTCGGTGAACTTCTGCAAAGGGCTATTAAGAGGGAATGCCCAGCGGATTAGGTGCAGCGAATCCAACTCTATAGATCCATCCAGGATTTCGAGTCGGGCTTGTCATTCGCTAAGGATGGCATTCTCCGTTAGGGTGGCACGACAAGGCTCGGGTTTGGGCCCCTCTGAAGAGCCCCCCCCCCGCCCAAGACCACAAGGGATCGCTTGCCTGCTTTCCCTCTCGTACCCTAAAGCAGCCAAGCCAAGCGAGCAGAGAAGCCCATTTCACCCCCCCGGAAAGTTTTCCCTGCGCAAGCTTCCCTCTTAGCACCTGGCTTCTTGGATTTCACAGAAGGGGGAGCACTTGCGCAGGAGAACTTCCCCCACCCCCACAAGGGAAAGGATCTGGAGAAGTTACCTGAGTTTTGGGCTGCAAGCCTGACCTTCCTGGGGCTGACGGAGGAGTCATTCTGCTCGACTTCATAGGATGCAGAAGCAGCAGCAGCAGCAGCAGCAGCAACCGCCAGCAGCAGGAGAAGCGTGGGCTTTTGGCGCATTCTCTTAAGTTTCCGCCAAGTTCGCGCGGCGTGCTCGCTCGACTCTCTCTCTCTTTCTCTGCTTCTTTCTCTCTCTCTCTCTCTCTCTCTGCCCACTTCTTTGGCTTGAGCAAAGACACGGATCTGGCTGTTGGAGAAAAAGAGAGGAAGAAGAGAAGAAGGAGAGAAAGACTCGCCGAATCAGCTCAACCAAGAGAGCCCCTCTTTTCTTCTTCGGTTCTGGCTCCTACTCGCTGCAGGTGACCAACCTGGAGTTTTTATAGCTTCTCTTATCTCCCCCCACCCCTAAAAGTCCTTCCCCGACCAGGAACCAATCGGGGGACGCGGTGGGCGGCCAATGAGAAGCGATGCTCATTCAAGCACAGGACGCCTGGAAAGTTCATAGGAAGAATATTTTCCAACCTATTAAAAGGACCTCCGGACGGAATCTAAAACCACACGGACACCGAGGCCCACACGCGTGTTCATCTCCCTTAAATGTTAAAAGAGAGGCTGAGCGCTTAGGCTGGAATTGGGTCCAAGCGAGCATCTGTACCTAGGGAGGCTTCGTGCCCGAGTTTCTGAATCGATGTGGATTTGCTTCAGAAAACTTAAGCAAGGAAAGGTGAAATCTTTTGCAAAGAGCATTTGGTGTTCCGAAGACGTGAAAATGGTAGAGGTTTCATCGGCACTCCCTCCATATGAATGAAATTGGACAATCAAAGCAGCCGCATTAACAGGCGTAGATGAAGGCAGCACATTATAAATCTTTAGGATCAGTGCTACTGTGCAGTTCCTTACATTCTCCATAAGTTATGTCTATATGTCTATAATTTATATGTGTGTGTGTGTATACATACACATATACACATACATGTGTGTGTGTGTATACATTGTGTGTATATATATGTATGTATGTATGCATATATACATATACATATACATATACATATACATATACATATACATATACATATACATATACATATACATATACATATACATACATACATACATACATACATACATACATACATACATACATACATACATACATATATATATATATATATATATATATACACATTTCAATACTTCCAATTCTATGCGGGAGAAAACCCGAATAACCAAAGATCCATATACACACATATATATACACACACATATACAGTGTATGTGTGTATATATATATATTTGTGTATACATTGTGTATGTATATACATGTATACATATACACACATACACACACATGTATACACAGTGTATATGTGTGTGTATGTGTATATACATATATGTGTATATACATATATACATACATGTATGGTATTCAGCTTTGTTCGGGTATTTTCCCACGTCATTATAGTTGTGCTTTTAAAGTTGTAGCAACGTTTCGGCAGAATCTCATCTGCCATCATCAGCCTTCTGTATAGTGTTCGTCTGTGAGTCAGACTTTCACAGCCGTCTCTGTTTTAAATTTGGGGCTAGCCTACTGCTGTGCCAGAATGGTTTTTTCTTCGTTGGTACAACTTTAAAAGTTGTAGCAACATTGCTACAACTTTAAAAGCACAACTATAATGACGTGGGAAAATACCCGAACAAAGCTGAATACCATACATGTAAGTACCCGCGAAAACTTAAGAAAACATATACATGCATACACACATACATACATACACACATACATACATATATATATTTGTGTATATGTATGTAAAATTATGTGTATTAAATATCACTCCCACCTTGTTTCTAAGATCTAAGGATTTTACAGATATTGGAGTTGAGTGACAGGATTCTTACTATCGATAGTTGCCTCTGAGATGGGGGAAATGTAAATAGTTTGAGGGGTCCTTGGTGCTCCTTGAGCTTGGTTATTTTCTTAAAAGAAGTTTCATTACCCAAATGAGGTGACGACATCAGTGCTAGAGCAAACCCCATTCCTTACTAGCCCTGATAATGTTAAACTAATTTAGGCAAGGAAAACAACCAAGCTCAAAGAGCATTGAAGAACCCATGTTTCAACCCTGAGCTACAAATGCTTTCCTTTACGGAGAGACATGTAGTTTCCCAGTGAAAATGTTGGGTTGCAGCATTCTGGAGAACTCCAGAGTCTTTCATTTGGTGGACATGCTGGCTGAGGTTGATGGGACTTGACGTCCAAACTGTCAAGAAGGCATTGTGTTGATTTTCTTTTTTATGGACAATTCCCTATTGATACTCAACCCACAAAGGCCACTCATTTTCCTTAAATTATTGTAGAGATCTGTCAGTCAGCCTATGTTATGTGAGTCTACAGCACTTGGAACTTAGCAATGGAATGCGAGAACAGAATCCATTAAGATGTATGTGTATTTCCTAGAAGATATACTACGATCATTCCTTTTCTGATCACACATCTCTGGTGGCCTTGATTTTGCAGACATCCAGTGGAAGAAGACCTCCCAGCTCTATTCCGAGTCAATCTTGCATTTCTTCCTACAAAAAGCTGATTGCAGCTCCTCTAGTTTAGGCTGCCCTAAATAGTTGTGTGCAGAAGCAGCTTAATTCCAAGGAGAAACCTCCCACCCACAATAAAGAACTGCTGGAAGCTAAAGCAGAAAATCAAGGAAAGGAATTTTGTTCAGGAGAGCAACACATGTAATGGTTAGAAAAGGTTCTAGACTCATTCTCTTACTAGGGCAATTGGAAAGGATCACTTGTAATCCTTAAAAGCTGCTCCAGGCAGTGCTAAACTAGATTGACAAATCAAGTAAATACTAAAAAAAATACTAAATCTTGCTAGGTCAAGCTAAGAACTCATTTAGTCCATGGTAGGAAATTTAGTAATAGACAGTTAGTCCAAAGCAGACATAGTAGACAATCATTGGACATTCAGGAAGCCCACAAATGTCAGCAAGATAAACAAGATTGTCTTTCTTGATATAAGTAAGTTCTCACATTCCCCTTATTGTTGATAACCTTCCCCTGCCTATTATCTTCCATATATTTTGGACACAGGGCTCATCATCCCTAGCCATTGCCTGAAGAAGTTTGGTAAGGTGGGGTGACTAAGGAGGTATAGGCAGGTTGGGGATGCTACATAAAACAAAGATTATATTCAGGTGGAAAGAAACAATATCTATTACTGTCCTTGTCCCTCTTTCACTGATTAGCTCTAAAGATCTGTAGCAAATTTTATTTGTAGCAGCAGGCTTTCTTAAATCAAAAATATGGATGTGCGATGTCCAATATATGATGTGCGTACTTTACAATTGCAATATTCATGTGATTGTACCAACCCAAGAGTGGAAAAGAGAGTCATAAATGATTTGACTATACATATATAATATGCTCTACAGTTCCTCTAAAAGACAATTACATAAAGCAATGATCCCGCTTTGTTGCTTGGATTGCATATAGCATTTAGGAGCAATGAACCAACTGGAGGGACAATGCAAAGCCAGTTGCTGAAGTCTTCTTGGTGTTGGAAAGGATGATCTCAGGAGAACCCAAGATAGACAGGGATAAATTACTGTGTTGGGCATGAAGAAGTCCATACAAGTCATCTGACAGATTAATAGCTGGTAAATTATAAATAAATAGACAATAGACCTCAATTAAGAGGTAGGTATGGCATCTCTATCCCAGCTTTATAGAAATTTCAGGGTGGGGAGAAATGTTAAGTGTTGCTTCTTATGTAGTTTTCCTTGCAATGACAATTTCATAAATTATATGGTTTAATTTAGGAAAGGAAAAGGGTAACCCAATGAGGAACATCTCCTCACACTGCAGCAGATGACAGTGATGGATAATATCTTCCAAGATTGAACAGTAACATTTCCATTTTGTGACCGAAACCGTATTCTGTTTTTACATCCGATTATCCTCTAACTGCATAGAGATAAAACTACCATAGTCAACACTCAGCATAATGTAATAGGAATCCTGCTGGAGAAATGATGAAGAAAGGGCATTCTCATCCCCAGACTGGCCATCTCATCCCTAAATAAGTTCAGGGATGACGAAAGGATATTTACAGAGTCATCTAATGTCTGGTCCTTTTTGGTGGCATCATGTTGTTCCCAAGAGGTAGAGTTTCTTTAGGGATGCGGTGGCTCAGTGGCGAAGACGCTGAGCTTGTCGATTAGAAAGGTCGGCAGTTCAGCAGTTTGAATCTCTAGCACCACTTAACGGAGTGAGCTCCCGTTACTTGTCCCAGCTTCTCCCAACCTAGCAGTTTGAAAGCATGTAAAAAAGTGCAAGTAGAAAAATAGGGACCACTTTGGTGGGAAGGTCACAGTGTTCCGTGCACCTTCGGCGTTTAGTCATGCTGGCCACAGGATCATGGAAACATATTTGGACACCACCATTACAGTTTTGTAACGGAGATGAGCACCGTCTTCTAGAGCCAGAAATGACCAGCACATATGTGCAAGGGGAGCCTTTACCTTTAGAGTTTCTTTCTGGAGTCATAAGACATGTTTTATCATTTACCTTCTCCTTGTCCCTCTCCTGCAGATGTTTATGGTGTGACATTAATTAAGAGACTTCTTGTAAAATTGCAAAAATTGAGTCTTCTGCTTTTCTAATTCCATCTCTGATCTGTAGTCAAGCCATATTTTCTTACGGGCCATTTAATAAATAAAAAGAAATGAGATGAACAGATTAAAGCATAAAATTAGATACTTCAGAACAAAGAAACCAGCAAATTAATGTGGAGATTTCTCCCTCAACCTATTTATCAGAGCCCTGGAGTTCTTGATGGATAATTTCCACATGCCATTAACAGCTGTGAAATTGGTGTCATTCTTAAAGGTTAAAATAAAAAACCAACTTCTCAGCTGAGCTGCTAAATATTTCTTGGTCATGTCCCCAAGTCCTGAATCAGTAATATTCTGTCCTCCTTTTATGTTAGTATATGGTTTTAAGATGATGGTAGCACAGATACCGCCTTCTGCATAATTTTTCCAAAACTATTTTTCTCAAATTTGGGGGAGGGGGGGACACTAATGGATGTTGTAATCTCTCCCTTTCTTTTCTTTTCCTCTATAGAAAATTAGGCAGGATCTCTTCTGAAACATTTCCCAGAGGTCCCCTCATTCTGTAGAATGAAATATTCTTTCCATGTTGGTCTTCCAATGTTCCTCTTTCTCCTATTCCCCCAAGGTCATTCCCCCCATACCATCACACTTTCGATATAATGGTCTTTTTTTGAGTGGGGGGGCTTTGTATGTCTAGTCTAATG